AAAGATTTCAGAGGTTTGAAGTGATCAGATTTTCTTACTGGCAGTTGATGTTATAATAATTTGTTTGTTTGCAGATAGGGTATATATTCCTTTAAAGACAGGTTAAAATAGCTGTTAGTGCCATATCAAATTTCAAATAAAAGCTAGGTGTTGCAAGTGTGTTTAGGAAATAGGCTAGCTTTTCTAGCTGTCTGGAATGTTATTGTAAAATAATGTAGAGAAATATTAGATGTTGAACCTTGAGCTGTCCAAGCACCTCTCTCACCCATGATAAAGGATGATGATCTCAATTTATGATTGTGGTACTGGCAACTATGTCTAGTTTGATTTTTTTTAATGTGCTACTTTTCAATGGAATGCTGTTATGTATGGTTAGGTCAAGTAAGATAAGTTCTTAGAGCACTGCAGAATGAAGCCATGGTTGAACACATGGTACCAGCTACATGCTGTCTGAATTTTTGCTGATGTGCTGGATTGGAATTTGTAGTTAGAGCAAGAGTATGTTTGTAAATGGTATCATAATCACTTGGCCATAATATTTAATGGATAATTGAAATTGTTGCTTTGATCCCATCTGATCTGCACTGGTACCTGAATAAGACTGAAATCACAGGAGGTTTTAAATGTGGTAGAATTCCTGGGACAGGGTTCAGGCTGAGCTGGATGGCTCCAGTAGGCAGCAGGTGTCTGCAATCACTGAGGTTTGGCTTCAGACAGACCTAAGAGACCATGCTATCTACTCTTTTTCCCCAAGCCAGGATGTGACACAAATACAGTCTGGTCTACTACAAATCCCCTTACCCTCCAAAAGCCAGAGAATGATAGGTAGGTCTTTCCAGTGCCTGATGACTTTTAATACTTCAGACATTTTCCCAGTGAGTCACATATATACTGAGAAGATGAATGTCTGTTCCTAATTTTCGATTAGGCATTTAATTTTTCTTTCTTTCTTTCTGATCTGTAGTGTTTCATGTGTGTCTTTGGTCTCACTTTTACAACATTTTTACTGGTTACAAAGATAATTTTAAACTCTTACCCTGTCCTGTTAAGTGTTTGCAGGCTGTTTTGCCTGCAAAACCACCTAGAGGTTTTGCAGTTTACTCTGTCATTGTCTAAGTCAGGACTAAATACATAGAAATTACCTGTAACAAGCACAGGTTATGATTTGACAAAGGACTAGTAATGAGTAATCTGAGTAAAATTTATACTTTTGTCATCTGGGCTATATTCCTTTGTTACAATAGTGTTACATAAGGCAATGTCAAAAGACATATTAGAGTTAGGATATAGTAACTTGTCAAAGAAGGAAATTGCATGGTGCTGGTGTATTCATGATGATGTTCTGTATTGCTCACCTAGTACTTCTTCAATACGTGGTTTTGTTGTCCATCTGGATATATGTACTTTCTGAGAGTCACCTTTTACAGTCCTAAAACCAGATTTGGTATATCTCCAAGCTCTCTGTCTTGAATGAATTTTTGAGGATAATCATTAGCAGTTACACTGCTTGTCCAGGTAAGTTCCTGTGAGTCACTCAAAGGTAAATTTCATTAGGTCCTGCTGACCCGAATATATTAAACTTACTAAATGTCTTGTAGCTATTTTTTGTGTTTTGGATCATGCTCCTATGATGCATTTGTTGTCTTGCTTCTGAGAATTCTCAGTGTCTGTTTAAAAAACCAGGGGGTCCCTTGCATACAGAGGAAAGTTTGACAACTACCTGATGAGCAATGTCTGACTTGAATTGTAGACAACCTGAAACAGGGTCTTGGGAGGGGAATGTATGATCTGTTCCACTGACCTTAATTGTGAAATAAAAGTAAGTCTTTAACCTGTCACAGTTGAAAGAAAAACTTGAAATACAGTCAATGCAAATATTTGTAAGCCTTGTTAAAAAATTATGACAAGATGCAGCTGGCACCATGCGTTCGACCATGAGTTTGTTCTGCAATGCTGTAAGCACTCACCATAGCTGAGCTAACCATTCCTTGTAAAGGAAATAGATATGTACTGCCCTATTCATGTTGACCAAGATGAGGCAGAAGGGACCAGAGAAAGCCCTCTTGAGCACGAGTCCACCAGTTTCTTTAATGGACCCTCTTCCTGCATTTAATGGAGTGTGTGCAAGAAAACTGTAAATGGAAAATGACTCTTGGCAAAACAGAAATTTTATTAGAAATATCTGCTTTTTATTAAGTTTCTGTGTCTTTTGTTGTTCTATTTAGAGGAAGAACAGACTTCTTGTGCAATTTGCCAGTGGAAGCACTTTCTTTCAAAGTTATATTATTATTTTTAAATTTTTTTTTTTGCTAAAATAATTTTCCAATTTGTTTTCCCTCATACTTGGCATGAAGAAGTAAGCAGTAGTTTGACTGGCTGACCTCTGTACACTGTCAAGTTCAGATTCTGCCTTCCTGTGCTCAGTCCTCATGTGGTGTTTGCTGGGGCATGCCTCAGCCACCAGGAGGTGGGTGCTGCCAGGCCGGGCTGTGCCCATCGGGGTGTGGTCAGGCTTGGGTGCACACTCTGGAAAGCTCTGCTTTCCACCCCTCTGAGCTTCATGGCACTGCTCCTCTCACAGGGAAAATTAAGAAAATGAAACTGATGTGGGAGTATAGAAAATCAGGTGTCAGCCTGTGGTTAGGACTGCACTGACCAAGGCTTTGCAGTGCATTCAGTGAAGACAGTGCAAGCAGAGCTTTGCTTTTGTGGGTTTTACAGTTCTCTCTGTTTCCTGAGTTACTTTGTAGAATTTTTCCATAATTAGCAAGATGTTAGTTGAGAATAGTGATTTGGCCTCTTGCTAGGACAATCTCAGGATCTGTAACTTCATGTTCTAAAACGCATTGAGCATATAAGCAGCCAGTGCATTTCCTGAGTTACCGTGTGCTCACTGATGAGCAGGTGTATCTGCCTTTCTTCAGACTCAAAATAAATGGTTTAATGATTATATGCTTTTTCAAAACAGAAAATGGGAGGGCCCTTTCTCCATTGTTTTACAGACCTGATTGGCACTCTGTGTTCCTCTGTGATGGTGGAATAGATGACAGCTAAAGGAGTTTAAATAATGTTTGTACATTAATGAGACATTGTTCTCAGGAGCCTTTTGCAAGGGGTTGTTTTAGGTTTCTCAGAAGAGCTTTTTGTCTGTTTTCTTCTCATCATCCACACCCCACCCCCCACCCCGCCATATCTGCTTTTGGGTGGGTGAAGAACAGTGATACTGCAAGTAGAAAAGGGGAACAGATTTCCAAGTATGTAAGGTGTTTTCCAGATCTCATGGCAGCCCACCAGTCTTCACTCCCATTGCTATTATAGCATGAAATATGATGTATCATATTCTGATTTTGTTTTTCTGTTTTTTAATGGTTTTGTGAATGGGTTTTATTGATTTTTTAAAAATCATTATTATTAGTTTTATTTTTTCTTAATTTTTCAAATTTGGACCTACCCTCTTAGCCAGGATGCTAACAACTGGATTTCGAAGTGTAAAGGATTAAAGGCTGATCGACCAAATTGTAAATGGCTTTTTGTTACAAAAAAAAATTGCATTATTTATTTTACTTTATTCCTTTTTACTTTTCTGTCTAAAAGCTGTAATTGTAAAGAAATGTGATTAAACAGGTGTGTATTACTGTACTGATCATCCTCAATTTTGATTTATTTTCCCTGAAAATAAATTAAACCTCTCAGTTTTGAGGTTGTAAGGGTTAAATTTAGGGAGGGAACACTCCCACAGATTAAGCCTTGTTAATGTGTAATTTTTAAATTAATAGGCACAACGGAACAAAGAAATCTACCTGGGAGCTTCATTCATGTTAGTTCTTTTTTTAATAAATAAAATTGGTTCTTAATTGTTAATTAGGAAGATGGATATATTGGAAAAAGTATAGAATAATGTTTGTAAGTTATCAGATATGTTAGTTCTTCACTCTCTTCTATGCTGTTGCTTTTTGCAGTCCTGGACACACATAATTGCAGTGTCATTCATTAAGAAAGAAACTTTCAGATGAAGAAAGGGTGGGAGAAGGATATTTTCTTGTACTGTAAGCTATTAAAGATAGGGACTTTCTTTTGCCTCAGGAAATGGTGTTCTGTTTCTTGTGCAGTTCCTTCGCCATTGTTTTAATGAAAAGAAGTAATGGCACTGTTAAGAATAATCTGTTTTATCTGTGCCTCTGAGTCTGAAGTCATCATGTGCCACTGGAAAGCCATTGAAAAGCTGTGCTGTGTGTAACTTTAGCATCGTTTGGCAGAATGACTGTGGGATTGTGTTTGTGCTGTGCAGATTTTAAAGAGGATACATTCTTGGCTGATAGCTGTGTCGCTGGCTTGGAGAAACAGTTGACTGCTTTTTGTCCTTAACTAGAGTTTTCAGTTTGCCTGGTTTTGCTAGTTCTTCTAGATCAGTCAACAACAACAAGTCTTTCCCTGATTTAATCTTTGGCAAATGCTTCTTGCACAGGCTTGTTCATTCTAAAACTGTGGTAAATGTGCTCCCCAATACCGTATTGTTGAAATGCAGCAACTGTGACACTGAGCACAGTGTAGGACAAGCCTGCCCAGCAGTGTGGAGCGGGCATTTTAACCTGAAGGACCTGGGCACTGCCCTTGGGAGCAGGGCCAGGAACTGCACAACAGAGGCAGACACTGAGGATTTCTAATCCTCACATCTCAAATACAGCAAAGTGTATTCTATACAATCTTTACGTACATCGCCCTTCCATTACTTCTTCTGGCTTTTATCTCTCCAATTTTCATGGAACTACCAGGCCTTTCTTCTGACAGGTGGTGAAATAATTGGATCACTGGAATACTCCTGTGTTCACTTTGCTGTGCTTGTGTTGGCAACTACTGGGGAGCAGTGCCTCATACCGTGGTTATACTGTGCTCTTGCAGCAGATTCAGATGTCTAACATTAGTGCTGATAAGCAGGTTAATGTCACTTTGTAAAGAGCTCAAGTAACCCCTAATGAAGCTTTCTCTCTTTCCCTCTGCAGGTGGTTAGTCGAGTGGCAGCTCAGCAAGGATTTGACTTGGATCTTGGATACAGGCTACTGGCAGTATGTGCAGCCAACAGGGACAAATTCACTCCAAAATCAGCTGGTAGGAAAAGCCTTTTTTGATGTATTGTTGATTCTCAGATGATCATATTCTGTAAAAAATGCTACCTGTGACTGTCTTGAATTCTGTAAAAAAACAAAACCAAAAGCAAATTTATTTGGTGGTTATAGTTCTGTTGCTTCTAGCCTTTCAATGGCATGTTGTTCTGAGGATACATGACATTGGAAATACATATTTTCCCCAGCTAGTGCTGTTTGTTGCCCTATTTGATCTCATGGATTAAATGCTGCTTCCAGAAGCACAGATGTTTAGTAATTTCATAGTGGAAATGAACATACTCAGACCCCTCTGTCTTGGTTAACCATTGATTTTCTGTCATGTGTCAACTTCTAAATCTTTTGCATCCGTTCTTCACTCCTTGGTATACCTATTGCAAAACTTAGACTCCTTGACTGCATGTGCCTGTGCAAATTAGTACCATGGTTTCTTGTATATCTAGACCTTAGAATTACAATTCTGAGCCAAGAGTAGGTAGTAATTCTAGTGCTGCAGGAACAAGTAGCCATTTTTCCAGTGTTTTACAGCAATAATCTGTTACAGGTCTCTGATCAAGTAGCAATATTTGATCATGATGTATTGCCATTGCTCCTTTTAGAGATGTAGAAAATGCACTTAAGGGTCTTCCTGCTTCTCACATGTTTGATTTAACTGGAGCATTTAATTCTGGTACTCCTTTTCTTAGCTGATGAATGTCAACATAATGTTCACTGGCTTGGAAAACAGGAAGATAATTGTTCTATTCCAGACTGAGCGTGGATAACTTTTCTGCTTTGTACTAAACTGGTATGCAGTCCCCATTTTGGAACATCAGAAAAGGTTACCTTCTTCCAAAACAGTGGCTTTTAGCCAACTGATTGGGTGTTAATATTTCTTTTCATGTTCCTTTTCAGTATTTATGAGCCCCAAACATGGCTACCTTTTGTCCTAAGTCTTCTAAGTAGTTCCTCATGCAAAAGTGGCTTTCACATCAAAGTATATTCACTGGACTTACTGTTTTGTTGTGGGTTTTTTTTTTTTTTTTTTTTTTTTTTTTTTTTTTTTTTTTTTGTTTTTTTTTTTTTTTTTGTTTGTTGTGTTTTTTTGTGGTTTTTTTTGGGGTTTTTTTTGGGGTTTTTTTTGTATGGGAAGGAACCATTAATCTTACTAATGTTGAATAAACTGTCTGATTTTCATCCAGGAAAACTGTGTGGAGGATAAAACGTTCTGTTGACCAAGCACAATGTCTCTTTTTTCTGACTTCCTATCAAGTTTATCCATTAGTTAGCTATCACATCTCTTCTTGGTTGTTTGGGGTTTTTTTCTTTTTAAAAAGCTTATCAAAAAAGGCTTTCCAGCTATGGTAGCATTAAATTTTCTTTAAAAATATAGCTCTTCCCCCTCTCTTACTAATTCTTCCTGACGTGTCTCTCCATTAGTGTGTTACAGGAGGTGAGGTTGAGAATCAGATGTTACAGTCCTTTTGCTTTAGGGCTCACTGAAGGAGTAGGGCTTGAAAACTGGTGGTCAGTCATCATGGTCTAGAAAAGCCCAATATCAGTGTTTGATTTCTACTAGTAGTTATTTCTTTGAGGAATATATGTGAGGTTTCTTTTAAACTTAGCACTCTGTACAGAGTTCACTCTTTCCCTTTTTAATTGATAGAATACTGGAAAAGCTGGTAAATCACACACTCTTCTCCTGATATATTCTAAACCCTTCTCAGACCTTTCCTTTGCTTCCCATTTCTCAGTTGTATGTAGAAGTAATTTATTTCCAATGATCTTAAATATTTTGTTTCACAACTACTTTAGTTTTACTGTGTGTGCAGTTGTTTCACCAGGTCTTCCCAGGGTTTCATCATGCCCATCTACACTGTGCATTTTGTGTTCTTACTCTCTTTGTTAAATACTGATATTTTGGGGCATACCATAGCATATTTTGCGAAATGTCACATATAACCCCTACTCTAAGGATGTCACCTTCACATAGGAGCTCTGAGAGCTACATCCTCGAATAGGCAGCTTTGAAAGATTGACAGACTGGGATTACAAATGTGAGGTCATTTCAGAACATACAGACTTCTTTTGAAGGGTTATTTTCCATATTAGAATGCATTAATATTTTCTGATTTCTCATACAGCAGTGGCTCTGCTCCTTCATTCAGTTTTTATAAAACTGTTGAGATTATCCTTTGCTTTTTCTTGTAGAGAGTGTGCTTCATTGAAAGCTGCCCTTTGTGACTTGCCTAAGTTGTTGTCAGGGATGCTTCCAGGTTGTTTTGAGAAACTCCTTCTGTTTCCTTTTGCATCTAATGAAAGACACCTTCAATTCTTCTTCCAGTCACATTCCTACAGAAATCCCCTGATGTAGATATCAAATGGCATTAATTTTAATGAATAAGAATTTGTTTTTCCCTTCCTCCAGGCTTAAGGGGAATTTACAATGGTTTGCATTCATTCCTCCAAGTATGAATTTAATGCTGCCAGTGGGATCACTCTGGAAACATTTTTAATCCATGTTGTTTGGTGTCTGACATTCTTAAATGCTAGGAGAAAAAAAGACTTCCTAATTAAAACATATTTGAGTGGGTGAACATCGGGGAAGATAATTGCACCAAATCCTTTCAAGGGCCATGCACTGTTAGTACCTGCTTACAGCCTGGGACGAGGTTTGCTGACTGACGTCCTGGAGGGTCTGGCAGTGGTGGCTGCAGGCTCTGCAGCTCTGCTGTGGAGCAGGGGACCCCTCCAGCCCAGGGTCCCTCAGGTCTGCTGCTTTGCAGAGATGGCTGACCCGGTGCAGTCAGTAGTCCTGCTCCTGTTCCCCAGCAATTCCCACCAAAGCTTGTTTGAGGACCTCTGTGGCAGAACTTTTTCTGTCTGGCTGCTCCCTGCGCTGTGTCTCTGCGGGGCCCCGGGAGAGTCAGCGTCCCCATGGCAGCGCCTGGCGAGCTCACTTATCCCTGATGGAAGTGGGCTGGAGCCTGAGGCTGGAGGGCAGAGCACCCAGCTGCCAAACTGGCTCAACTGTGGAAAAACCACCCCTCACTTCTTGGAAATGGCCTCACCACGTTTCATTGCAGCTGGTTGAAGCTGTGCTGTGGTGGCTCCCTGCTCAGCTGAAAGGAGGTGCAGCTGGCAGCCCAGAGTCCAGCAGGCATGGGGGAAGCAGGGAGGGACAGGAGGCTGCAGCTGGGCAGGGCAGCTTTTCAGAGGCACAGCCTCAGCTGGGGAAGGACAGGGCACCACACCAAGAGCTGCCGGTTCCTTGGCTTCTCCCGTCCAGGATTGTTTGGTGTTGCTGAGACAGTGTTTGATGTGCTTTTTGCTGTTGTGTTACTTGGTCATTGAGATAGTTAGCAATTAGCTAATACAAATTGTTTTGGAGAATGCCTAGGGGGGAGATTCATGCAGCATGAAAAGTATTAATAAGTTGCCTTGTGTGTTTTTAAATAGAAATGACGATTTAATGGTTGTGCCTTTTGTCTCTGCTTTCTGGTGTTTGTACCTGAAATAATAGCTGCTGTCTTTTATTCTTCTAGCCCATGCTTCTGCGACAGGGCAGCTGCCTCAGCAGGAGGTCAAACACAGCATTTCCCACCCTGAAGACAAATGACAAAACCTTTAAAAATATATGTGTCTCTTTTGGTGACAGCTGCTCCCCAGACCTTCCACTGGAAATTCCTTTGCCTTGATGTGACACCTGTAGGGAATGGCCCAGCAGGTTGGCTGCCTGCTCATTTGCTTCCAGACTGCAGTAACCTGAGTTGCTCTTAGTATGTGAGTGCATAGGTGTTTATATATTCCGGCTTTTCTTCCTTAAACCTGAAGCCCTTGTCTCTGAATTGTATTTGCTTGGACTTTTTCTGAGCATATCTGATGCTTTTGTCCTTCCTGTAGAATTTAAGTTATTTGGTAGCCTTATTTTAACTGTTCAAATAAAGTAGAGTTTGCCAATTAAAGTGTTTATTAAAAAAAATAAGGGGACTGGAAGAGAAAGAGGGAGAAGAATTTTCTGTTCTGAATTTTTTTTTAAGATACTTTATCGAGCTACTGAACTTCATTGCTCTTGTAGCTACTTTTCTAGTTTTGCTTCTGTCAGGAGGCCAAGCTGAGGCCAGACAAGGGGACGACAGGATGAGATCATACAGGGAGCTTTGTCAGAAAAGGACAGTGTTCAGTATCTCTGTAAAGAGAGAGAGGAAGGAAGAAGCCTGAGGGCAGAACTGTGCAGAAAAGGTACTTTAGCAGTCACTGAGCAGCTACAGCAAACAAGTGCTGTGATAGCTTGGACGGGCATCCAAGTGTTGGCTGTTTGATAGCAGACAGCAACCTTTTTTTGATATCACTTTGCTTTCAATCCCTTAGGCTGTGCTTGGTGTGCTTCTGATTTCACTTTTCATGAGCAGTATTACTTAATAATCTTGATTCTGTATGAAGTATGCACTAAAACTTCATAGTTTTTGTGTACTCTATATGATGGGGTGTTTTTTATTTCTTTAGCTTCAGTCATTGTACTGAAGCTGTGATATAATAGGGCTCTTCTTGTGAATAGAATGCCAGAGCTGTAATTAAATTGGACTCTGGGTTAACAAAGGTATTTGCAGTGAGAGTGCTGGGAAATGGAGGTGTTAAAACCTTACTGGACAAGATACTGAGACCCAAGGTATGTCCTGATCAAGATACATTTTCAAAGCAATAGTAGAGATTGGGCAAAGAGTATTTTGGTGTATTATCAAATCAAACTCACAGAAATTATATAAAATGAGAGAAGAAATGATGCCAAAATGTGAATGAATGAATAAAAAGGTAGAAAATAAGGATAACCTCTAGATCATGGAGGACCATGGGGCTAGATTAACACTTTTACTAAGTTTCCAGTAATAATGCTCACAATATCTGTGGCGACAAGGCAAAGCCAGGTGGCTAAAAGGATTACAAGTATGGAATAGAAATAACTCCAGCCAAGGCTGATGGCATCCCTCCAGCTTGAAGGGACCAAAT